TGGGGGGGTGGGCTTGCACGAATAATCTTAGCTTGTCCGTGTAATACTGACGAGCATCCTCATTTCTTGCCTGTCTCCTGGCCAAGCATTCCATCTTCCTGCCTTCCTCGTCCTTTTCGTGAGTGAACTTCTTCAATAATTCTTGAAAGAATTCACCAATCTCGTAGTTGTCGTAAGCTAATCCATCAGGTTTCAACAATACTATCTCAGACTGTGCTTTTCTTGTTATACAGTCTAGCAGCATCCTTTTTACAGCATCGTTAGGGATCTTTTCACACTTAAATCTCAACAGATGTTTCTCCAACTCACCACACCAGTCAAACACCTTACTAGGGTTACAGTCATATGTTGGGGCTCTACAGCTAAAATCCAACAGCCTCTTCTCATATTCAGCTTCCGCCCTGCTCATATCTCGTAATGTCTGCCTATCTCCTCTGCCCGCTGCCTTCTCCGCCTTCAGCCAGGATACATAGTACTCTTGTGAATCTTCCACCTTAGGGCGTTTTAATACTGCGACTACTCTTCCGATAGGGTCCTGTGTCTCCGGTGTTGCTGACTCTTGCCACGTCTGGGCGAATGATTTATCCTTATCTGCTTGATATCCGCCAGTTCCTTCTTAGTCTCCTTCAGTTGGGCTTGGAGCAGCTGAAACTGCTGCCTTATTTCCGCCAAGCCATCTATCGCTGGGTGAGATGGTCCCTCCATCTCTACTTCTGATCCAGAATCGTCACTGGGTAAACTCAGATATCCTTGAAAGGTAGTCACTGTATTTCCTGCAGCCACACTTGATTCACTCACAGGCAAATCCTCTCCTGTTAAAACTTCTCTGGCTAATCCGTTAAACCAGGTTTTCACTTTACTCTTTTTCTGGAATACTTTCGGAGTCTCGTGCATCTAGATCTGGGTCCTAGGTTATCCCACCGCTGCTACCACTTTTGTAATAAATCTAGGTCCCGAGATTACTCTACTCAAAGTCTAATATAGTCTCAATGACTCTATCTCTAGCCAAAACTCAAGGCTCTGTATAAGTCCATATAACACAACGTTTCATGTAGTACTGATTTATTTATATACAGGTAAATTAAACTGACCGGATTGGCCGGTCAGGGTCAACATTGAAATAGATAAGATATATTAATAACATGGATAATAAAGATCCTACTAATCATTACAACAGAAAATGCTACATGGAGTTGCTGGAAAGAAAGAAGTATGTCAAAAATAAGGGATAGACAGCCCCATTTTTCAACACACTCTCCCACCCCCAATTTGTAGCAAATATAGAGGCCCCATTGTAATTTAAGTTGTACATTGTCCATATAGCTAAATGTGCCATTAGTAAACAAATAAATTATGTTTTCCGATTAACCCAATCAATAAATATAGCTAGTTGACACCGATAGCCAATGAGATCGCACCCAGTAGAAGTGGCATTGATAAGTCACAAGATTGTAGCCATGGGGATCGTGTCCTGTTTGAGGCATTGATAGTTCAAGGGATTGTATCCGTGTTTTGACATTGATAGTCAAGAGAATCTAAGTTATATCTGGATAGATACTGGTTAGAAGAACTGTCATGTAGTAGGGAATTTACTACAAAACTAGAATATATCTAATATGAATTTGATTTACATGTATTCCAGGTGTACCAGAGTGCTCTATACTTGGGTAAGCAGTGCTTGAATATTCAATTTATTGTTCAATCAAAAAAACATTCTCATACACAATTGGTCCACGAAACATTGTGTATGAGGATGTTTATCTGTTTTTTTTGAACAATAAATTGAATAATTTAAATTTGATATTTTTAGAGAAACTACAATATATCTGTATAAATATGATATGTTTAGGGAAGCTACAATATATCTGTAAAAATATGATATGTTTAGAGAAACTACAATATATCTGTATAAATTTGATATTTTTAGAGAAACTACAATAAATCTGTATAAATTTGATATTTTTAGAGAAACTACAATATATCTGTATAAATATGAAATGTTTAGAGAAACCACAATATATCTTATATAAATATGATATGTTTAGGGAAACTACAATATATCTAAATAAATTTGATATTTTAAGAGAAACTACAATATATCTGTATAAATTGATATTTTTAGAGAAACTACAATATATCTGTATAAATATGATATTTTTAGAGAAACTACAATATATCTGTAAAAATATGATATGTTTAGGGAAACTACAAATATATCTTATATAAAAATGATATGTTTAGGGAAACTACAATATATCTGTATAAATATGATATTTTTAAGGGAAACTACAATGTATCTTATATATATTTGATATTTTTAGAGAAACTACAATATATCTGTATAAATATGATATGTTTAGAGAAACTACAATATATCTTATATAAATATGATATGTTTAGAAAAACTACAATATATCTGTATAAATATGATATGTTTAGAGAAACTACAATATATCTGTATAAATTAGATATTTTTAGAGAAACTACAATATATCTTATATAAATTTGATATTTTTAGAGAAACTACAATATATCTTATATAAATATGATATGTTTAGAGAAACTACAATATATCTTATATAAATTTGATATTTTTAGAGAAACTACAATATATCTTATGTAAATATGATATAATTAAAGAAACTACAATACATCTGTGTAAATTTGATATTTTTATAGAAACTACAATATATCTGTATAAATTTGATATGTTTAGAGAAACTACATATCTGTATAAATATGATATGTTTAGAGAAACTACAATATATCTGTATAAATATGATATTTTTAGAGAAACTACAATATATCTGTATACATATGATATGTTTAGGGAAACTACAATATATCTTATGTAAAAATGATATGTTTAGGGAAACTACAATATATCTGTATAAATATGATATGTTTAGAGAAACTACAATGTATCTTATATAAATTTGATATTTTTAGAGAAACTACAATATATCTGTATAAATATGATATGTTTAGAGAAACTAAAATATATCTTATATAAATATGATATGTTTAGAAAAACTACAATATATCTGTATAAATATGATATGTTTAGAGTAACTACAATATATCTAAATAAATTTGATATTTTAAGAGAAACTACAATATATCTGTATAAATATGATATGTTTAGAGAAACTACAATATATCTGTATAAATATGATATGTTTAGGGAAACTACAATATATCTTATATAAATATGATATGTTTAGGGAAACTACAATATATCTTATATAAATATGAAATGTTTAGAAATACTACAATATAGCTTATATAAATATGAAATGTTTAGAGAAACTACAATATATCTTATATAAATATGATATGTTTAGAGAAACTAGAACATATCTGTTATAATTATGATGTTTAGAGAAACTACAATATATCTGATATAAGTATGATATGTTTTGAGAAACTACAATATATCTTATATAAATATGATGTTTAGGGAAACTACAATATATCTTATATAAATATGATGTTTAGAGAAACTACAATATATCTGATATGAATATGATGTTTATAGAAACTACAATATATCTTATATTAATATGATGTTTAGAGAAACTACAATATACCTGATATAACTATAATGTTTAGAGAAACTAGAACATATCTGATGTAAATATGATATGTTTAGTGAAACTACAATATATCTGATGTAAACATGATATGTTTAGAAAAACTACAATATATCTGATATGAATATGAAATGTTTAGAGAAACCACAATATATCTTATATAAATATGATATGTTTTGTGAAACTACAATATATCTTATATAAATATGATATGTTTAGAGAAACTAGAACATATCTGATATAAATATGATATGTTTTGAGAAACTAGAACATATATGCTATAAATATGATATGTTTCGAGAAACTACAATGTTATCAATATGATATGTTTAGAGAAACTACAATGTTATCAACAAAGAAAATAGAATATATATTAGAGTGGAATTTAGACAATCCCTCGGTATGAATTTTTTCAGTCTCTTTCAGCCTGAAAGGGAGTTCAAAGTGTGCAAATCATGTAAATGTTCACAAATTATATGCAGTAGAGTACATTAATACAGTATGTTCCCTAGACTATCCATTTCAATTTCAAATTTTTTAAAGCTGTGAAATAAACTTTTTAAAATAAATTAGGTGAATGAATCATTTGATTTATAGTTATAACGGAAAGTCATCGTTTGTAAAGTGAAAGGCATAGAGTCTGTGTGAAATGATCATTGGTCAATTATGAAACCAGCCTATTTCATAATTTGGTTTTCTTTTAATATTAATTTTAGATTTTCTATAAAATGATGTTCCTGAGCTGAAAACTTTAGAATGTTGGATATCGAGATTAATGCTTGATCTCCTCTTTTTCTTAATCTCCAGATTAAATAATGCTTGTTCTCCTCTTGTTATTAATCTCCAGATTAATTAACCGATCGGGATTAAGGATATCCCATTCTAAAGTTTTCAGCTTAGGACTCAAAAGGTTATATAGCAAAAATTTGTGAAGTACACCTGCAGTATGGAAACAGTACAACAAAATGGCCGTTTTTACACTTTTTTCTATTAATTCCACTCTAATATATATTCTATTCTCTTTGGTTATCAATATGATATCTATAGAGAAACTACAATGACTCTGTTATCAATATGTTATGTTTAGAGAAACTACAATGACTCTGTTATCAATATGATATGTTTATTGACACTGCAATGACTCTGTTATCAATATATTATGTTTAGAGAAACTGCAATGACTCTGTTATCAATATGATATGTTTAGAGAAACTACAATGACTCTGATATCAATATGTTATGTTTATAGAAACTGCAATGACTCTGTTATCAATATAATATGTTTAGAGAAACTAAAATGACTCTGTTATCAATAAAATATGTTTGGAGAAACTACAATGACTCTGTTATCAATATGATATGTTTAGAGAAACTACAATGACTCTGTTATCAATATGATATGTTTAGAGAAACTACAATGACTCTGTTATCAATATGATCTCCTATGAGTATCTTGTATCTAATCAGCCAAATATAAGTTTGGTTTATCAGGTAAAATTTAAAAGTTAAGAATTTTTCACGATTTTGTTTTTAAAAGTTAAAAGATTGTAACAAATGATATAAAGAGGATGATTTTGCGCTACATTTTGAACAAGTTTTATTCTACTTTTTTAATTATTAAATCTAATTTGGTATATTTTTATATATTATTAATAGGAATCGTTAATATTTTTTATCTAGACTCTTGATGCCTCTTGGGGAAAAAGATAAGAAAAAGATGAGAAAAAGTTGAGAAAAAAAATAAAAGAAAGATGAAAAAATTGGTGTTTTGATGTGGGAACTTTTATCTGAGAAAGCACTTAAGGGACTGTGAACCTAATTATAATTCATACTGAGGAACGTAGAGTTCATACAAATTCAGAAAGTTGCAGGATACGACTTGTATCGTAAAAAAAAAAACAATTTAAATTCAAACAAATCACTCAGATTTTACAACCTAAAGTCATCGACTATTTTTCGACGTATTCGTACATAGTTAATATTTCATAATATTTTTTATTTGTTTTGTATACAATGCACTGAAACCGCCGAAACAGTTGGCCGCCAGATGTCTCTACTCTCGATGCTTTGAATGATTACATGTGGTAGAGACACCTAGCTGAAAAAGTCGTTTTAAGTGCAATGTATGTATATAAAACAAACAAAAAAATATTATAAAATATTAACTATGTACAAATGCGTCGAAAAATAATCGATGACTTTAGGTAATATCAGAATGATTTGTTTGAAATTAAATTGATTATTTTACGATCCGAGTTGTATCTTGCAACTTTCTAAATTTGTATGGACGCTACGTTCATCAACATGAGTCGTTTTTAACTTAATTGTCTCCTGATAGACGCAACAGACAGAAATAAGATTAGTAGCGACCAAAAGCGATTATTTAAAAACTCTAAGAAAAAGGTATAAGAGGTCAAGGAGGGGAGGAAGGCCAACCACATCAATCTCTAGTCCGAACCACATTCTCCTCATTTTCTCGTCCGAACCACCTCAAAATCCTCGTCCTTTCAATATTATTTTTCTTAAGTGTCCGATCCTTGAAAATAAATACATTTTTTAAAAATATGGCGACGTTAGGGGGCATAAAACATGACTAGAATAAAGTTTTCCAAGGATTTTGAGATGTTGGAATCTTCAAATCCACGAGAATGATGTCAAACATTATTTAGGTTAAAAATTGAATCTCTTCTGCCTCCAAAATGGATAACTTTCACAAATAAAAATTTATACTAAAGAATTCGCGTGAACATGGTCTTTAATCTTTACATTTCAACCCATACAAAATAATCATTGATTTCTGATTTATTTACAAATAAGGTAGATTTGTTGTCCCCACTAAGAGATCCCTACTGCCTGCCGTATGCTTAAAATTATAGAAAAAATAATGTTCAATTTATATTATTCAAATCATTTTCTAAAATTAATTGGTCACAACCCTATGAATTCAAACAGTATTTAATCATATAAAAATTGTAAGTCATATCTCTAACCCAAATTCAGCTGGAATATTACAAAAAGTTGTTTACATCGAGTTTGAGAATGTTTTGCGGCATTTTCCGCGAAAGAAAGGGCTCTAGATACAGACGCTTTTTTGTAGAACATTGTTTATGGAGCATTTTCAGTTTTACACAAATCTTAAATTTAATTGGGAAAATTTGATATTTCATCTATGCCCTAACGTCGCAAATTTTTAAAAAATGTATTTATTTTCAAAGAATCGATCACTTACAAAAAATATTATTGAAAGGACGAGGATTTCGAGGTGGTTCGGACTAGAGATTGATGTGGTTGGCCTTCCTCCCCTCGGTCAAGATGCACTGAATTGTTCCTTCTGAAATATAGTATTTACATATTATAAGGAGGTTGACAAGGGTTGTTAACAAATCAATACATTTTTAAATTAGAATACTTTTTTACATTTAGTTTTTGATCAAGCCCTGCAATCCTTTCCTAGTTTGTAATTCAAGGCCTTGTCTTTCAAAATTGTGATTGTCTATGATTGAGAAACTAGCTCCGGAGCTGTCCCAAAGAAGTAAAATGTAAGCAATCCCTATCCCCCACATTCAGCCTGCTTATAAACAGTATCATCAATTTTTAAAACAGGGTTGAATTTGAAGTGTCGCAATGCCCTTATCTTAGAGTTTACCGCTCTAACTCACTTATACTTTTCTGTAGCCCTTTGCATGTACATTTTAGCAATGTAAAGCACTTGTTGCTAGCTCTGGTTTTATAAGTAATTGGCAAAATTCTCAACAATTTAAGCTTGAGAGCGGGAGACCATTAAATCGCTCCACCTACATTGGGACACTACAATAGTATACGGAGTAAAATGTTATTAGACAACTCTATTAGTAAATTTATAAATGTATTCCAGTTTAAGCTGGAAACCACTGTATATTGTGTAAACCATTTGTAAAAACTAGTTTAAATGAAATAAAAGATGATAAAACCCGTAATTAGCTAGGGTTTCTGTTATATCTCAAATGTAAGAAACGAAAAAATAAATAAAAACTATACAATTCTTTTAAATAATCAAAATTTAAAAAATTAACATCTCTGTGATTATTATTTTGTTTATAAAATAAAGTATTGATCTATGTTCGTCTGTCTGTTTAGTATGTAAGTCCGATCATAACTCTTTTACCCCTTGACCGATTTGCCACAATATACAGTTAAACCCTAAATAAGCCATACATAAAAAGAATTCATCAAATGTCGTATTCTTCACTTTCTGATAATGGAATGTTGCAGATATTTAGTCTTTTAATTAAATGATTATATGGAGCTCTTTAAATTAAAACTGTTCCTGTATATTCATGGCTATTTATTCATTTCGCAAATACTGAGATTTACGTAAAATAGTATAAAACCCATTGAAAATTGTCAAGACGACATTTTATAAATTCTGTCGATGTATGGCTCATTTAGGGTTCAACTGCATGATTGGGGATATTGTTCTAAGTCTGATTCAAAAGAACTAAGTTCAGTAGGTAAACAGAGAGAGAAAGTTCAGTCTCCAGACAAAGCTGGATTCCCATTTTTCATAAAATTGAACCATTTATTTAAGTACTCCAAATTCTTTTTCTGACTCTTGGTTGTGGGGAGAAGGAGATGGGGAGTAAGGAGTTGGGAGAGAGTCTATCAACTCACTTGCTATCAACTCACTTACTATCAACTCACTTGCTATCAACTCACTTTCTATTAACTCACTTGCTATCAACTCACTTGCTATTAACTCACTTGCTATCAACTCACTTGCTATCAACTCACTTGCAAATAAAATCAGTTAATATTTGCCAACAGTGCTATCCAAACATTTATTTGGGAGCGGCCTAACTCCGTTACTCGCGAATGCCGCAATGAAGTATAAGAAGAGAGGGATTAGTATATATTTTAGGGTAAGGTTAGGTTAAAACACTTTCTGTGCCTCGCGCGGCGGCTTGGACAGGCTAGGGGGCCGAGCGCCGCGGCTAGGACATGGCAGAGGGCCGAGTACCGCGGCTAGAACTGGCTCTCTCTGTGTCTTATAATCCGTTGAGGCATTCGCGAGTAACGGGGTTTGGCCGCTGCCCAAAATCAAATTTTCGGCTTGCTCTCAATCCTTATCTTTACCAATTTTTCCTGTCAAATCTGTCAAAAAAGGGAAAAATTTCTCAAAATTTGACATTCTTCATTCTTTGGCAAACTTTGCGTGGACATGGAGCCGGCTCGTTTTTTTGCCTCAACTAAAGATACCAACCTTTAAAAAGATATCAATAACTGCCTCTGTATTGCATGTCTGCAAAGACAAGGCAAACAATACACAGGCCACTTACAAGTGCCAGAAATATAGAAACGGATGCAAAGCGGTGCTTTTCTGCAAGAGAAATCCAACGAACAGGTTTTGATGGCAACATATTTAGATAGCAACAAGTTAATGATAGATAGCAAGAAAGAACTGGTTTTGATAGCAACTTATTTAGAAAGCAACAAATTTATGGTAGCAAGAAAGAACTGGTTTTGATAGCAACATATTTAGAAAGCAACAAGTTTATGATAGCAAGAAAGAAACTGGTTTTGATAGCAACTTATTTAGAAAGCAACAAGTTTATGATAGCAAGAAAGAACTGGTTTTGATAGCAACTTGTTTAGAAAGCAGCAAGTTTATGATAGCAAGAAAGAACTGGGTTTGATTCAATTTATTTAGAAAACGAATAATTTTGACAGCGATGTATTTAGATAGTAACTAGTTTTGGATAATAGATGAACATTGATAGCAGTCGAGAATGGAGAGAAAACGTTTGATAGCAGGTGAGACCTGATAATAAATTGACCTGATTGCAAGTGAGTCTGGAGAGCAAGTGAGACCTGATAGTAAATTGAGAGCTAGTGAAACAGATGGCAAGTGAATTGATAGCAAATGTGTGGATAGCAATGGAGGCTGATGGCAACTGATTTTGATTCCAAGTGAGTTAATAGCAAAGGAGTTAATAGCAAATGAGTTAATAGCAAATGAGTTGATAGCAAATGAATGAGTTAATAGCAAATGAGTTGATAGCAAATGAGTTAATACCAAATGAGTTAATACAAAATGAGTTAATAGCAAATGAGTTGATAGCAAATGAGTTAATACCAAATGAGTTAATAGCAAATGAGTTAATAGCAAATGAGTTGATAGCAAATGAGTTAATACCAAATGAGTTAATACCAAATGAGTTAATAGCAAATGATCGTGCTCCGTTTGATTTATATATTTATATATTTATATATTTACATATTTATATATTTATATATTTATATATTTATATATTTATATATTTATATAAACAAATCTCATTAATTGTAAAAATAAATAAATATGCGGGAACAGCTAAATAGCTCAATTATATTGATAATAACGCTGATTCCTGTACTTCACTAAAAGAAAAAAGAAAATCATACGAAATAAAACTGTTTTATTTATTTTACATTTTTAATAAACGTGTTAAACATTATTAAGAAACATACAAAATCAGCAACGAATAAAAATTGAAAATTTGTAAAACAAAACAAAAAAGACAAAGTTCATCGGTTATATCATATTAGGTTTAATTGCATAGCGTTAAACATTTAGAATAAACTATTTGAAAAATTTCACCAAATATTGCTTTACAGAAGCTGAAAATAAACAGTGTACAGAGTACAGCTCGTTTAAAACATTATTAAGGAATTATTTTACATATTCTAATTGGAAGCATTAACAACGTGTAAGGGTATGAAAAAGTAATAAATGGTAAAAAATGGTTTTTTGCATGTGTTTCATGTTCACGGCTGAAATAATTTTATTGGGAGGTCTTTTCATTTATCTTTATAGTTTTATTACCCCCTCTTATAGGTACAGATACAGACGGATAGGGACAAAGTATAAGGACAGATACAGACGAATAGGGACAAAGTATAGGTACAGATACAGACGGATAGGAACAACGTATAGGAACAGAGACATATATGGATTGGGGATACAACACGCGTATAGGGACAGATACAGCCGGATAGGGAGAGAGACAGGGAAAAAGACACAGTGACAGGGACAAATACAGTGATAAGGACAAAATCACAAAAGCAGGTACAAGGACCAAGCCACCTATGGATTAGAAAAAAAGACAATTCAAGCGACAGGGACAGACGAAAAATCAAGAAAGAGACAGGTAAATTTACATCAGTTTATAGAGAAATATAAAGATAGATTTATATGGAAAAACAGAGATGCATGGACATTGAACATTGGACATAGGTGCATGGACAATGAACATTGGACAGAAGTGGATGGACATTGAATAGAGGTGCATGGAAATTGAACAGAGGTGCATGGACATTGGACAGAGGTGCATGGACATTGGACAGAGGTACATAGACATTAGAAAACATAGGTGCATGGACATTGGACATTTGACAGAGGTGCATGGACATTGGACAGAGGTGCATGGACATTGGGTAGAGGTACATAGACATTAGAAAACATAGGTGCATGGACATTGGACATTTGACAGAGGAGCATGGACATTGGACAGAGGTGCATGCACATTGGACAGAGGTACATAGACATTAGAAAACATAGGTGCATGGCCATTGGACATTTGACAGAGGAGCATGGACATTGGACAGAGGTTCATGGACATTGGACAGAGGTGCATGGACATTGGACAGAGGTACATAGACATTAGAAAACATAGGTGCATGGGCATTGGACATTTGACAGAGGAGCATGGACATTGGACAGAGGTGCATGGACACTGGACAGAGGTACATAGACATTAGAAAACATAGGTGCATGGGCATTGGACATTTGACAGAGCTGCATAGAAGTCTGAAAATGAATTGGTATTTTCCTGCAAGTAAGAGACTCTTCTAGCCTCTGGAGAATTTGTCACTTTCCCTTTTTCACTTTCTTTTCTCCTTCCACACTCTCTTTCAGCCCCTTTGCACCCTTCTTCTCAGGACTTTTCTTCTCTTCTTTTTTCTCTTCCTTCTTCTCCTCTTTCTTCTCCTCTTTTTTCCCATCTTTCTCCTCCTCCTTCTTATCTTCCTTCTTTTCTTCTTTCTAAAAAATACTCAAATCTATAAAATAAGGCTTTTCACTAATATACATATAATTATATGTTAGCAATATATGCAAAAGCTGCACTGACCAAACGGCTGGTTAAAATTGGCTGAAAGTTTTTGAGGGAACCCATGGATACCACGGCTGGACCAAATTGGCTGAAATTTTTTTGAGGGAACTCATGGGTACCCTGTGGTTAACATAATCTTTAAAAAATAGAAATAAATTTCTTTTCAAAAATCTGATCTTTTTTCCCACGGGAAGCGCCGGGCTAGTTGTAAATTGTAATATATGCTTGGGAGGACAAGTAATTAACCTTTTCCACCAGTTTTTCTTCTCTCTTCTCCTCACTGTCCTTTCCTTCACCCGTCTTGGTCAGCTGGTAGAAAACCCAAGTCTCCTGATACAAAATAATCATCAGATTTATAATACAGGCTGTCCATATAAACATGAGAATTCAGTGTCGACTTTTCTTCCACGTGGCATTATTTCGTGAACATAATTATTAGTAGTTCTTGGCAACGTTTCATAAAGACGACTTTCGTTTTGCGTTTATACTATATTAGCTAAGTTTTCTTTATAAGAATTAAGCAATTCGACTTGGACCTTTTAAGCCAAGCTACAGGGTTACCTTCAAAGGATGAGAATATAAACACGACCTGAAATTCATATATTATACGGATTCCAAGGTTGAATTAAGTCCTTGTTTGTTTGTTTGGTTTTTTTAATGATTAAACAAAGAAAGAAACACAGAGTTCCAGGGAATACTGAATATAAGGAAACAGTATAATTTCCGTACAGTCGTCTCTCAAGTCTCATCCTTTTTGAATAACCCTGCACTAACATTTCAGTAGTTCTACCAAGTTCCTAAGTAAAAATTTGAAGCACACCAGTTCCCTGAGTTATGATTGGACATACAAGCAAAAAACAACAGATTACTACTTTATGGATATGTATAAAAAATAAATAACTATATTATTACTGTAAATAATAATTTTAATTAAAAAATGACTTAAGAAAATGTTAACTGATCCATTTAATCCCCTAGTTTACCATGAATGAAGGAACGTATGCAGATGTTTGATTTATCGTGCAAGGAGTGTCCAGTCCTTTTACCAGGTTCTCAAACAATATCAGGGCAGAACCAGCGTTGATCCCGTTACAGTGGGTCTGATACCTTCCTCCTTAATATTCATTCATTTATCCTTTTATTCTTCTTTCCTTACTGTTATCCTTTTATTCTTCTTTCCTTACTGTTATCCTTTTATTCTTTTTTCCTTACTGTTATCCTTTTATTCTTCTTTCCTTACTGTTATCCTTTTATTCTTCTTTCCTTACTGTTATCCTTTTATTCTTCTTTCCTTACTGTTATCCTTTTATTCTTTTTTCTATTCTTCTTTCCTTACTGTTATTCTTTTATTCTTCTTTCCTTACTGTTATCCTTTTATTCTTCTTTCCTTACTGTTATTCTTTTATTCTTCTTTCTTTACTGTTATCCATTCTTAATGTTCATCCTTTCATCTGTACTTTTATTCTTTCATCTTTACTTTCATCTTTTCATATTTACTTTCATCCATTTATTTGTAGTTTCAACCTTTCACTTATACTGTCAACCATTCATTTGCACTTTCATCCTTCCTATTACACATTGTTTCTTTTCCTTTACTCTTTCCTGAACCCTATCATCATTTCACATATACAGTACACACCCATTCATTCTTTTTTTTTACTGTCACCTGTCCTTTAAACTTGAATTTATTCTTTTACTTATACTTTCATTTATTCTTTTACTTATACTTTCAGTTATTCTTTTACTTATACTTTCATTTATTCTTTTACTTATTCTTTTACCTTGTCTTTTATCCTTATATTCCTTCTTTCATTTATACTTTCATTTAAACCATTAATTAAATTTTTACGTTTCCTTTCATCCTTTAATTTATTCCTTTATCTTTTTCTTAAACTTTTAACTTTAATTTAACGTTTCCTTTCATCCCTTCATTTCTCCTTTCTTTTTATCCTTTTTTACACTTTATACTTTTCTTATCATTTTTTCATTTATTCTTTTATTTATTCATTTTTATACTTTCATAAAAACTTTCATGTATATTTTTATTTGTACTTACTGCATTACTGACCTACTGTAAGAATAGATAAAGATTGAGACAAAATAGATTTCACGAAAGCCCAAGTTTCTCCACCCTGAAATAAAAAATTTAAGAGTTGTAAATTGCTTATAAAAAAGTAAACCTTTATTCAGTATAAAAGGAATGGCTGATTAATCTTAGATTCGATGTATTTTATGTCACACGACTCAAGGATTACTAAGTCTTTAGCCACAATAAGTTTGGGTTACTGGAATTTTTGAGGTTGCACAAAAATCTACGAAGTTTTACCGAATTTAAAATTTGTGTTATATAAAATGTTTGCTTTTCGTACCCTATTCAAAATATTTTGACTTCGAGAGAAAATATATGGAAAAACTTACCAAATACGAACTGGTAACCCTATTTGGGTTAGGGTTTGGGGGGAGGGGTTCCCTTCTCTTGAACCGGCTTGAAAACCGGAGTTCATAACAATTACCAGAATTTAAAATATTGAAAATTAGGCAAGTTATGATCAAAAATTATTTTTCTCTGAACAAATTTTATTAAGTTTTTAAAAAAGTATTATTTTTAGACCTAACTCGGTCAAAGTTGAATATTTTTTGATTCTGTAAATTGATTTGAATTCAGAAATTCAACTTGGTTCTAATAATACCCAATTTAATAAGTTTTTCAAAATTGTATTTTCCTTTTTAGAAGTGACATTTTTAACGTTATAACCCCCATTTGAGGGGACACATTTTTTAATGTTGTGAAAAATGTATCTAATAAACATGCCTTAGAATTCCAAATGGCATGCTATTTTGCTTCTGTAAAATGATTAAAGTAAAATTTCACTAGAATTCAATAGTTTTTGGTTCATTTTCCTTTTTCTCTTAGATAAAAAATATTGCAAAGTTTAAAAAAAAGCTTTAACAGATTATAGTTTTGAAATGTTGGAGGTTTTATTAAAAGTTTTTGAAAAGCAAACCACAACCCTATAAATACCTCATGAACTGGAATATCTGTTAAGTCTCCAAAAATGATGTCAAATTTTCTGCCCTCATCCCTAAAACATTATCAGATATTGAAATATTAATAAAAACTGCAATATTTTAATTATAATCATATAAATGGAAATAGCCTCCAACACCCCACCCCTCCTTGACACTCGTGTACATTTATATATAATTTGCATTATTAGGAAAACTCCTTTAATCTCTTTCTAAATAAAAGACAAAAAACATTTGGCTGATGAAGCCAATCAGGAGTGTAAGAGAAGCATTAAACCACATAAAACTTAAAGTATGATGATGGTCAAATTGTAGATTTCAAATAGGCAGCATTAAACTGAGCAATTTTGACCTGTAAATAATATCGGCAGCTCTACAAGGTTTCGTAAAAACATTTTTTTTCTAAATTGTCGGAAAAATAGATGACAAGAATTATTAAGATAGAATTTACTGTATAGCCTGTGGCTGTACTGTACCGAATAGTTTTTTAAAATTTTAAATTTAAAAAGAAATAAATGTTAAAAAAATCTACTTGTAAGTTTTCAACCACTTGAAGGCATCGTCCACAATGATCTTGTAATTGTCCCCTTCCATGTTCTCCAGAATACCACCGTGCACCTTCGGCATAAACTCCCTGCAATAATTAAAAAATATTTAGAAACAGCTGAACCAATATATGTTGACTTATTACAAAATAAAAATGGAAAAAACAAAACATTATAATTTATTGTGGGTTAACAATAGATGTTGTTATAAAACAATTAAAAAATGAATTTTCCTGCACTTTGGTAGAAATCAGAAATTATAATCGAAAGTCGTCATCATTGTACTAATATATACCACAACTACTTTACTGATATATACCACAAAACTGTACTGATATATACCACAGTCCACAACTACTGTACTGATATATATCACAACTACTGTACTGATATATACCAAAACTACTGTACTGATATATACCACAACTACTGTACTGATATATACCACAACTACTGTACTATATACCACAACTACTGTACTGATATATACCACAACTAGATATATACCACAACTACTGTACTGATATATACCACAACTACTGTACTGATATATACCACAACTACTGTACTTCACAGAATTTGGAGACTTAATAACAAGTAGCTCTCCATTCCCAATATTTTTATAGAATGGCATGTCTGATTCAAACAATACCCTTGAACCTTGAAGGAGAAATGGGATATCCTTTTAATTCTAGCTTAAGATTTGACTATTTATCATCGAAGATTAATATAGAAAGTAACTTCCTAATTGTGTATCAGATTTTTAAGCGGTTTCCGAGTACGGTTTTAGGTATGGTTTGTAAAATGTTAAGGACTAAGGTGTAAATTGGTGTGATTAAGATATAACCTGCAAGAACGCATAACCGCCTCATCTATATCAACCATTGTGACAAACTTGGGTTTGTTCTCCTCCTGCAGTAGTTCCCATAGCAGAGCACCATCTCCACCACCCAGTATCAGAACATCTTTGTCCTGGGCAAACAAACATAAATTAATCAATTAAATATAACAATGATAATAAATTGTCATAAAATAAATAACATGTATATACAGGGTGTCTCAAAAAAGAAACGGGGGAATAAGGTTCTACAGACTCGTTTGAAATCAGATTTTGAAGATTGAGACCACTTTTAAAATCTACGTACAATTTCCGACTTTAATAAACTGTAACCTAACATTGAATATAAAAATGTGCAAACGGAGATTATCTTTTACTTTTTACTTCGCTCTATAAGTTGGAAACTTTAGGAGCCTATACAATTGTTATTTTTAGAGTTTTTTAAGACACCCTGTGTATATATTTACAATGTTGTGACTAAATTATATTTTCTTCTATTTAGAATAGCAAAGGGTTATAGCTAGCATAGCTGTGTTGAATGCTATGTCCATACAATATATAATAAAACTATTGTAAAGGAAAACAAATGTTGGACTCAAGACATGATTTATCATAGTCCGATGAGCATATGCTACACACAACCTGCAATGTAAACAGACCTATTTAGCTAAATAATTTGATTATCAAACAACTGGGGAAACTATATGCTTTATAGCAACAACGAATTCCCACAAAATTGCGAAATTGTCGTCTTCCAATTATGAAGTGCTATGGCACCCCCTGTATGATACCTTGTAATCCACGGATCCCTTGCACATCAGATTATGAGTGTACACAGTATCACTGTCTAAACAGAGAATGATCAGAAGATAGAAAAAAAGATAAAAAGATAGTAGACAGATATATAGGAAGACAGGTAAACAGATAGATAGGTAGACAGGTAGACAGGTAGACAGGTAGACAGGTGGACAGGTGGACAGGTAGACCGATAGATAGCTAGACAAGTAGACAGGTAAACAGGTAGACAGGTAGACAAGTAAACAGGTAGACAATTACACAGGTAGATAGGTAGACAGGTAGACAGGTAGACAGGTAGACAGGTAGACAGGTAGACAGGTAGACAGGTAGACAGGTAGACAGGTAGACAGGTAGACAGGTAGACAAGTAAACAGGTAGACAATTACACAGGTAGACAGGTAGATAGGTAGACAGGTAGACAAGTAGACAGGTTGACAGGTAGACAGGTATAAGTTTACCTGCAAGGTTGACATATCCATCAAGTACCAGCATACTCCCGTAGTCAGATGTAGAGAATATTTCCACAAGTTGGTAGGGGGATTGTTCTCTAGGTAAGTAAGTAACGAATTCAAGTGGTCAGCATATATATCAATACAGTGTCCGTTAATGGAATGGTGATTTAATACAATTTCATTGGGACGCACCGCGACAACTCTTTACAATGATTTTTTAGTTCTGGATATTTTCTTCAAATATTTTGTATTAAATCATTTCAATAAAAGATTATGTTTATATATATATATATATATATGCTGGCCATGGAATATTAAAGCATCACAAACAAAAATACAAATTAAAGCTTTATCTGCAATTTTAAAAAAGTCACAATTTAATGTTATATATTATATTAACCGATTGTAGTATTTTTTAACGATAAACTCACAACTAAGAATAATAAGAACTAGGAATGGAATAAGAAATGTATATTTTAAAATGAAAAATAAAAAGGGCTTTTTTAATGAGTATTAAAAATAAATACTCGTTTTAAATTCAGAATTTAACATTAATTAATCAAATTCTGCGTAAATCACAAACTGATTCACTCTTTCAATTGGTACATTGTAGTGAACGAATTTTGATAATTGTCTTTTTACCGGATTTTTGTAGACGTAATTATAAGAGACCCCTTATCTACATCAGCAAATCCGATAGACAACGGTTTCCTTTACTTAATCCACAAAAATAAATTCTGACAAGTTCTTTTCTTGTTTCTGCTGCAGAAATCTGCAATTCAATTTTACAGAGAATTCATCATCAGAAATTATCTTTTTTCAATCTTTTTTGTTTTTGCCCAGACGAAGCTAAGGTTCAAATCGGGCAAACCCATCTTCAAATATAGTGTCACTTCAAATTATGTCAAGTGTTCCTTTAAACGCAATAATACCTGAATAACAGTTTATCATATCTGTATTCCTGAAACACGGAAAAGAATTATTTACCTTAAAAAAAAATTCTAAAAAATCGGCAATATTTATATTGCTTACCATAATTCTATCATCGCTGGTTCTCAGATAAGGGCAGCGTAGCAAGCATCGTTTCACAGGCTAAACATAATTAGCTTTATTGGTAATGTTACATCGTCTATACGCAACATCCCCCCTACTGAGCTTCTGACCTACTAACTTTCCGACCTGCAATATTGGACCTACGCCAGCTGTTTATTTTTGTTTTAATTGAGGGTTAGGTTAGGTTAAGACAATTTCTTGGCCGAGCGCTGCGGCTAGGACAGGCTAAGGGGCCGGATGCTGTGGCCACAAGTCCATATTTGCGAAAATAAATAGATAGCCATGAATATGCGGAAAAAGACCTGCATATAATCATTTAATTAAAAACTAAATATCTGCAACGTACATTGCATTATCAGAAATTGAAGAATACGACATTTGATGAATTCTCTGTACTTGATCAGACAAAAATGTTTAGGATACCGTTATGCATCGGGCAATCCACTCTCTTATTGAAACTAGGCGTACAGACCCTTTAAAGGGTTAAAGGGATGTTAGGAATAAAGTATAATATGGAATATGGAATATAATAGAATAGAAAGCTGCCAAAAATAAAGAAGAATATGGAATATTGAATATGATATGTAGAATAGAAAGCTGTCAAAATAAAGTATAATATGGAATATGGAATATAATAGAATAGAAAGCTGTCAAAATAAAGTATAATATGGAATATTGAATATAATAGAATAGAAAGCTGTCAAAATAAAGTATAGTATGGAATATTGAATAAAATAGAATAGAAAGCTGCCAAAATTAATTCTACCAAGAGAAATTCATATTAAACTGTTTCAGCTGCGAAATCATTTTTGAAAATATTTCGTCATAGACTAAATTCCATAAATGAACCATATAGCTTTTGGCGTTTTTGAGCTGTGATAAACAGATAAGAAATATAAAAATTGGATACTCATACAACTGCAAGCAATCTTGTGTACAAAAATCACGAATGAATGTATTTTCTAAACTGCCTAAGCGAGCAGACACGAAAGGAAACAAAAATGGATAAAAAATATGAATTCTACTTATCATGTATAACAGGCATTATAACTGATAAAATTAAGCCAACCGCCCAACGGAGATTTATACATTGATTACAAGTTCGACAAAAATTCTTTTTTTTAATGATTTTGGTCAATTTTCGTTGTCAATTTTCAAATAATGGGGTTCAAGTTTGTCGTATACGCATTTTTCTAAAGACTATATTAAATCGCCGATTAAAAATGTATTTGGACGACGGAAAAAGTTAAAAATCTATCATCCCTATAAATAGTGTCTTTATAAAAACAAAATTACTTAAAAAATTGTTATTATTAGAAAGATAAATAGATTAGATAGATAGATAGATATTTACCGGTATACTGGAGCCTGAATCAGCATCCAAGTTCTTAGTGATTAGTTTCTCAAGGTTTTCAATACTATCATAATTCAGAAATAGAGCATCATCGCTATTTATCTAGAATATTATTAATATTCTATAGAAAGAGTGATGAGCCCTTCACGAAAATAATGTTTAATTGTAAACATACTATCCTTAGGTCCACTGAAACAAGACAGGTTTTAAAGCATTCATACATTTCATATTTGACTGTCAGTGTTAAAAATGTTTTGAGATTATCATACGATTATTGTGCCTTCAAATCGATGTAAAATTAAAGCTTAAATCTGTGATTTTTTGTTATCAAACAATATATCTAACAATTTTTCTAAATAACAAAATTTAAAGTAAGATTCACTGTTAAAAATCTCGTTTTTTATTTATAATTCTATATTATTTGTATTAATATTAGATGAACAAGGGACATATCAAACCATGCAAAACGTTGTATGCTCAATTTGCAATCTGGGGCCAGGAAAATCTTTGTTGGAGAAAAAATGACAAAGATTTTCATGACTGTGGTTTCTATTTAAAAGTGACAATACAACATGTTAAAGAAAACGACGATTACTTCCTCAGTCAAGGATACAATCTTGAACTAAGGGGTCACATGTAATCACGTTAATAAAAGTCATTATAACCTGTAAATGGAAGAATAACTGAAAGCAGAAGATATACTGCCTTGTTCCAGGCAGTCTTGTTGGAGCACTTCAGCTACACATGTAGCAACAGTTGCAACATCCCTAGATATAAACAGATGATGATAATGATGATAATGATGCTAATGATGATAATATTGATAATGATGATAATGATGAAAATGATGATAATGATGA